AAATTATAACTATTAATTAGATTTTACAAATTTTTCATTAGAGACAACTAAAAATTTTATTTTTTGATGTATCTATAGTTTTGTACCAGATCATACATAATTTTAACAAATTTTCAAATAAAATATTCTAATTATATAAATATAAATTATTTTTTTTATAAAATTATATATTAATATTATAAAATATAGTTAAATCTTTCTAAAATTATCATATTAATTAAATTTTTTTTATAATTATCATATTTAAAAAGTAAAATTAGATAATTATAAAGAGATAATAATCTTTAAGTAAACTTGTCTCTGATTTTAGATATAATTTTTTAAAGCAAACATGAATATTAATAAGTATATATTCTGATACTTTAAATAGAATTTCTTATCAAATATCTTTATCTCACTTTTTTGATAATTTTATTTTATAATTTTTTCTAATATTTAAGAAAGAATCTGATTGTCAGTTAAACTCGAGATTGCACTTGCACTACATGTTATTGCTTGGATTTTTTCTATTCCTATTCCCACAAGTAACGTATACATCTTTTTTGCTCTGAATGTTCTCTGACACGAGTTTACATCGGTGAAGTGCTTTTATCTCATTATATACTAATGTTCTTGCTGATTGATCATTAATTTTATTGATACACTTAATATCTTCGATTCGATCCTCGCATGTTTTATAGTAACAATACCAACATAAAATCTCTTTTTTGTCTAACTTTCATTGTTATAATAAATAAATTGGCTATGTAATTTTGCTGGATCCTGTTATAATTAATTACTTCTAACGAAAATTCAGGAATTTTTATATCAAATACATCACTAAATTTATTATTATTTTCTTTAATGAATACAGATAAGTCGTGCCTTAAACCTTGTTCTACTCTTTTATTTTTATTCAGGTATTTTGTGCTTGATCAGTAGGAATTGGTTTTGATTGGGTGGTCTTATGGTCATGGGTAATTTCGGCCATGCCGGCTCCGCCGATAACAGGGTTTACCTCATTTTGTATATTGGAAGAGGAAGATGTGTTTTGTATTGATCCTTGACTCTGAAGTTTCTTTTTCCGATTTCTTTCTCTTATTTCATTACTAATCTGTTCTTTGTGTACCCAATCCAGAAATTCGATCTCTTTATCATCAAAAGATTTAGTTTCTATGCAAATTGGCGATGTGGAGCATTGAGCCTTTGTCTTCTGACATACATTTTCAGATAATTCCGAAAAAGCGTTATCAGATACATCAGAATTTGGAGCATTATTGAGTTCATCAGAATTTGAAGCGTTATCAGATATATCGGATGCAGGCGTATCATCACATCGTAAGTCTATCTGTTCATGAGTATCGTTAGAATTTTTCATTTTAGTAGAGGTGGTATTAACTGAAGATTGATTGATTCCCTTGGCATCATCATCTGATTTAACAATAAAGTTGTTCTTTTCATCGGTTTGCGATTGCTTCTGTTTAATTTCGCAACTCTAGCTTTAAGCTCAACATTTTCAACAGCAGTATCTTTATCATTCTGCTCCAGTTTCATAAATCTGGATTCGTGCTCTTCCAAAGCTTGTTTTAATTTTACGTTTTCAGCTTTAAGCTCGATGTTCTTGGCCTCAACACTTCGGAAAATTTTTTCTAAGTTCAGGAATTTCAGCATTCTCCTTTCTAAGTTCAGTAATCTCGGATGCAAGCCTAGAGTTTAATTCTCTCAAGGTATTGATTGTTAATTGATCGTTCGACATTTTTTTATTACAAAATAGGATATGTTCAAATCACACGAAAAAAATGGTTGTCAACATTCTTTGCTTTATTTACTGTAAAATTAATCGTAATAAAAATCGAAAAGAATCAAATCTATCCATGGTTACTACACTATAAATTTTCCATATATCTAAATCATCTAAACTACAACATTATCAATATTCTGGATAGAATAAGAATGGTTATTAGTTGTACGGAACATGTAATCCCCCGATGTGTATCAGTTGGTTGTCCGTTATCTATCTTTTTCGAACTCCAGAGAAGAAGGTTGAAAGTTTATGTTGCTTGCCTTTTGCGATGCTAATAAATTTCTTGGCAATCTGTACGAAAGAATAGTCATTAGTTTGCAAGCCCAGAAGTTGCTTCATTGAAATGCGCTGTCACAACTGAAATATTCAGACCTTGATTGCGAGTTTGGAACTTTCAATTTACTTCTGACTGCAGGATCCGATCAAATCCAATATCTCTCCTTCAATATAAAAAGGCCTAAAATCCTGCAAACATAACCAAAAAATGCTTTGTTTCTTCCGCTTGTTTCCACCCTATTCTTGTTATTTTAGCTGGCCAGAAATATTAATTACATAGCACAATGATATCATTGTTAATAAAATTGAGTATAACTTCAATGTTTAGAACGTTCTTATAGAATATTACTCCCCGTATAATCCGATGAAGTTTATGTTTTTCCGAGCTTACATATTCTATGGTATTGATGATTATGTAGGGAAGTTGGAGTTATGGATGTAGGTATTGGCATTTACCAACTGGCTTCTCCAAAGGGAGAAGGGTTGCACGCACAAGGGCGTTCCTCCAAGTGGAGACGGTTCTCATGGGTGTTGTAAACAACCAATTCCACACACCCAAAGAAGAGACGTTACCAACCGGCTTCACCAAGAGGAGAAGGGTTGCACATACAAGGGCGTTCCTCCAAACGGAGACGGTTCTCGTGGGTGTTGTAAACATCAATTCCATGCTCCCAAGGAAAGTCATTTTCTAAAGGGTGTTGATCAAGATCAATCATCATTTTGATTGGAGAGGATCACATGCTCACATAAATAAAATGTCTAAAACGCGTCACGTAAACAAGAGAATTAAGGAAGTGGGTGTTTGCTACTGTTGTGTTAATTTAATTGTTGAAAGATATTCATCTCTATATTTTCCACACTCTAGTTCGTGCTTCCTTTTTTACCTAAAGGGATGAACAGCTACTTTTCATCTGTCCCTTTCGTAACGTGCAAGATCATTGAATTTTTGCGTCAGCTTGATTTGGAACAAAATCTAACGAGTGCTGAACGGGAATCGATCCACAGAGAAATCGCAAGAAGTTTGGAGACATTGCGAGAGAACCGGGTTCTACCACAATTTGCTAGGGATCACGCGAAAAAGCTGAACAAAGAACTATCTGTAAGGTTACGATTTCCTAATTTGCCTAATAAAATATGAATAGACTCAACATGTTAATAAAATTTCCTGTCAGTCCAAGGTAGTCGCGTCATTCTGGGATTTAATATTAGAACGTGAGAAACATCCTGTTACCATGGAACATGATTGCACGCTACTACAACAAGTTCGAGAAAAACATGTCGCAATAAGTATCGCTGACGTTGTTAGAGTGCAACGAAATAATGAAGCTGGTAAGAGCATTTTTATCATTATTGATATAAACACACTTCGAGTCATCTTTAATCCATTACTTACATAGATGAAATGTTTACAACTGCCATAGAAAATTTGGTGAGAATATTGTGCGTATTCTCATTTTTGTTTCTCGCAATTACTTACCACCGTTAATTCATAGAAAAATAAGAGAAAACGTTCAATAGATGATGAATCGCCACGGACCCCAGAAAACAGGGTAGCGATATTTTCCTTTTACGTTATTGTAACTACATAAATCTTTTTAACCGGGAATAGGGAACGGGCATTCGTCGATAATATATGGACTAGGTTTAATGGAAATAAATTATCAAATGGAAGCGAGTGGAAAACGTACGTATGCAGACTCTCAAAACCCCAACAATCGAGTGGATGCAAAGTTGGTGTCCTCCCCGACAAACTTCGAACAACTTGGAAGCATTCTCCAATTGAGTGTGAGGCTAGGATTAAAATCACTTGGTTTGCGGACAAGATCCAAATTGAAAATTATAAAGATTCCCCTACTCACTCTCATTTAATTGAAGAAAGTGACATATGAAAATGGTCAAGATATATTAAAGACATGGTAGCTAATGAAGTTGTAAAGAAGTATAAGCCCTTCACGATCACTAATGTAATTCAAAAATAACTTTTCGAATCACATGAAAACTTCAGTGTAGAACTCAAACATTAAATTGAAACTTGTAGATCCAATAATCTCGCATCTTATTGGAGATGTCAATTTAAATGCTGATATTCAGGATGCGTATAAGTTTTTAATTCAAAAAAAAATTGTTTTAAGTTTTTTTTTATTCAAATATTATATTAAGGATTATATTTTGCAAGTTCAATCTAATATGTTATGAATGGTTATTATTAATTAATTTTATTCATAATGCCAACAAGTATAGTTGGTATTTATTTACAATTTATGTTTGGAATGATTGTGATTGTTGATGTGTGAGTGCATATTTTTTTGTTAGCAATGAGAATAGTATATTAATTATAGCAAAAATATGATATTTCTCTATGTATAGTTCATATTATTTGAATATAGATCAAAAATATCTATTATAAACCAACTCTCAATAAAATGATCCAAGCAATGCACACAAAAAAACTCAGATTACTTATGAAGTACTTGTTCAAAATATAATAACTATATGTTCTTTACAAGTCAATATCAAGTATATTTCACAAAATTACTTGAAAAATTCAAAAAAGTAAGCATTTTAAGCATAGTAGCATTCATCTTTTCTTCTTTAAGTAACTTTAATAAATTCTTTTGAGTTCTATTATAGTGAACTTAAAATAAGAACTTCTATTGTATATTATTAATAAATTAATTTTTTATTTCTTTTTTTCTCTGCTTTTTTTGATTTTTCTTCTTATTATTCATTTATTATTTTTTTTTCTTATTTATTCTTTTTTCTTATCATTTTCATTTTTTTTTTCAATTCTTCCCTTTTATTTTTTTTTCTTATTATTTCTCTATTTTTTTTTTAATTTTTTTTCTCATTATTTGCTTTTTATTTTCTCTTTTCTTTTTCTTATTTTTTATTTACTCTTTTTTCTTCTTATTATTTTTTTTTCTTCAATTCTTCTCTTTTATTTTTTCTCTTATTATTTTTTTTTCTTTACTTCTTTTTTATTTTTTTAATCTCTTATCATTTTCTCTTTTTTTACTTATTTCTTTTTTTCTTTTTTTTTCTTTTCTTTTTTTTTATTTCTTTTTTTTATTTTCTTTGATCTTTTCTTATTTCTTTCTATTTATTATTTTTTTTATTTTAATTTATTTTTGCTTTTTTATCATTTTTATTTATTTATAGATACATATCATATAATCTTAAAACTTGATAAAAAGAAGAAAATAATGGCAAAAAAAGTTACTATTAATTTTCATATAAAAATAATATTTATTACTAATATAGATCTAGTAGTTCTTATCAAGATTCACAAATTTTTCTTTCTAATCCAGAAGCTTATCACAAAAAAGATATATGTAATCTTGAAATAATTATAAGAAGAAAAAGATATGTCAAATTTCTTAATTATGAAATATAATTATAAATTTTTTAATCATTATTTTCTGCTTTATTATCATAATTTTTATATATAATTCTATAATAATACTAATATTCTGATATTAAAAATATGAAAAAGTTTTTAAAAAACTTTTAAGAAAAGTTGACTTGAAAATATATTAATCTCATAATTTAATAAAAATATTCTAATCTTAATTAGAAATAAAAATAGAAATAGCTATAAAAAAATTATTTAATAATAAACAAATTATTTGAAAGAGTAAGAAATTGATATTATCATTTGACAAATCAGGATAATATAGAAGAAGTAATGAGATTTATTAAAAATTTAGAAAAAACTTTGATATTTGTTTTTTAATAAGAAATATTTTATTATAATATTATTATCTTTTTGATGCAAGTTCTGAGGTGAGGATGAGTATTAAACCTAATATTATAAAAACATGTGATAAAAGTGATCACGTACTTAAAGTGATGTTTGAAAGAGTCTTTAAATAGTTTATTAACAAGAGTATAAATACTATTATTTTCTAAAGATAGGTAATGATAGTATTCTTGTTATGACTAGCTAGAATGTAATCCAATTCCAAAACATAATTTCAAGACAAATGTAATATTCAGTTTATTAATAAGATGAATTAATAGATCTTAATCAAGATCTATTCTATAAGAGAGATTCCTTAGAATTCTCTTAAAACTATAATCTACTAAAATTCGAATTGAGAATTAAACTTATAAAACTCAAACTAAACTAAATAATTAATTATCTGACTACTTAACTGTCTGTCTGTCTAAATTCACTAGCTAAGATATATCATTTTTATATATTTTAGAGATTATATGAATGATATTTTTATTATGATATTTATGCTAGTTTTGTTATAATCTAAATGTTACTTTTACTAATATCATAATATTAATTTTATTATGATAACATTATTAGTTTTGCTGTGATAGTTTTGCTAATTTTGCTATAATAATTTTACCATAATCATCATATTTGTGAAATCTTCTAAAAATATTTACAAATAATATTCTCTAAAGCTAATATTTAATAAGATATAAAGAATTATTTATCTAATCATATTGTGTTATAAAGTGACCAATAATATAATTAACTAATATTCTACTAAAAGTTCATATTACAATAGGATCCTCTTTATTAGCATTTTGTTTCGCAAAATTTAAAGCTGAATATCAAATTTTTACAAGACTTAGCAACTTTTCAAAGTCATTATTGGTCATTCTTCCCAACTTGATTGATTATAACTTTCTTAAGTTCAGAATTGCTTGTTCTAGAATATGTTGAAATAACTTGCTAGCTTTATTGGTAATTTTCCAATATCAAGAGGTTAGATTTTCAGTTATTACTTGTAAAAGCTTGTTATATAAAAATAGCTTTTCTCTAGTTGAATCTGTAGTGATAATAACATCTACTATTTCTTGATCTGATCAAAGTATGTTATAATTAATACTTTTACTAGATGGTATTTTGGTAACTATTTCTAAGACAATATCTTTCAAAATGATTTTTGCTCTTGATTTGCATATTGGTGATATTTTGAAAGAGTTTAGATGAATAATAAAAAAAATAAAGTCTACTAAATAATAAAATAGAAGTTATTTATAATAAATAATATTCTACAGATAAATATGATACAGGATAAATATAATAAATAAAAGAATAATATAATATAATTAATTTAAATTACAAAAATTCTAAATTAATATATTTTTCAGAAAGATTATAAGAAAAAGGGTTTTCTAGGCAAATAGAATTATAATATAGGCTGATTTTCATGTCTAATTTTCATGCTATAGTGTATAATTCCATAATTTTGGCCATGTCACTACAGATCCAGAAGTTGATGTAATCTTGTATCACATCAGATGATTATATAGCCATACAATTTCTATTAGTGCTTTCTAAATTAATTTTATTTTTGTGTCTATTTATTATTCTACTATTAATTTCTCTTTTATTTTCATAATGAAACTGTATTTCTTTATTATTCATTTCAATATTATTGACAATATAATTTTCTCATAAATTTTACCAGTTTGATGAAGGTAAAGGTGTTATTTTACTATTATCATTATTCACTCTTTGTTTTCCTTTTATTTTGTTATGTTAAAAAATATCATTTCTTTGAGAAACTAATATTTTTTCTCATTTATCTTGTTTGATGAGCTGTAATGGTCATTGTGTTGATATTTAGCTATTGTGAAAATGGTAATTTAGATATCAGCATTGATATTGAACTCCTTTTCATTCTCAAAATTCAAAATTTTGAGAATCTGAGAGAGCAAAGAATAATTGTGACATTATGTTATTGTTTTCTTTATTATTCTTGTTTTTGTCAGTTATTGGCATCTATGAAATACTAGTTATAGCCTATTCCTATCTATTAGTAATCTTGTTAGAGCTTTCTTTGGTCTTTTATTCAAAAGATAAGTTTTTATTTTCTTCATTATATTCTTGGTCACCTGACCAATGATTGATAAGTTAAGTGACTTCATATTCTAAATGCTGATTGGTTCTGATACTTTCCAAAGTCAAGCCACAACTACTAGAGCCAGAGCTATATATTTCATAAAGTGATGCCAGGCTTTTTAAATATTATGAGAAATGAGAAAGAAACTCTTCTTCTTTTAATTTAATATATTTTCAAGAGAATATAAGAAGATACAATTTCTCATTCATATTTCAATAGTATCCAAGATAAGTGATAAAGTGAGGAATTTCTCATTCTTTCCTAGTATCAAGAGATAGAACTTCTTCTTTTTGAAAATTAATTTGTGATGAATGAGCAATCTCTTCTTCATCTTCTTTT